CCCGGTGGGGCGGCCGGGGAGGCCCCCCGCCCCTGGCACTCCCTGCGCCGCTGCTGTGAGTCACGAGGGAGGACGGTGATGGCCCCTCCACCTGCCACGCTTGGCTGCCCCATGGGCTGTGGCCGTGCCAGACCCTGGCAGGCAGCAGTCCTGGTTTTGGGGAGCGCGGGCTGGGGGGCAAAAGCTGCTTCTTGGAGCAACCCTTGCCAGGAGGGAGGGTCCAGGATCCCTCGACCCCCCCCAACTTCCATCTCCTCTCCCTGGCCAGGCTCGGACGACGGTGCCCACCCACAGGAGCTGGGCGCGGGCAGCCTGCACGGCCTGGAGACCCTGGAGACGCCGGCGGCAGCAGCGGGGACCCCCCCGTCCGCCGCCAGCGCCGAGGTGCCGGCACGGCTACGGAGTGGCGTCCCCGAGTCCTACCTGTCGGGCAGCCAGCAGCAGTGGCTGTCGCTGCGGCTTCACCGGGCCCGACGCTGGCGCGTACCCGGACTGCCCTGCGTCGGCAACAGCCCCGAGTCCTGACCGCGCGCGGTGGCAATAAAGGGGCTGAGCCGGGGGTCTCCATCTCTGTGTCTGTCTCCGTCCCCTTCCCTGTCCCCGGCTACGGGTGGGAGCGGATTCCGGCACCCGGATGGCTCCTGCATTCCCAGCATGGCCGGAGCATCGCTCCCACCTTCCTGCCTGCTGCTGCCTGCAATCTCTCCCGCCTGCAGCATGCTCGAACCGGCCCCCGTACGCGGTGGGGTGGGCTTTAACCTGTCCCCGACCCCCTTGCCCGGGCCGCCGGGCAAGGGGGTCGCGGACCGGTAATACCAGAGCCCCCGGTGTGACTACGGCTCCCATGATGCCGCCGTTCCCGGTCACTTCCGTCACGGGGCGGGGTCCGGCCGAGCTGAGCTCCCCTTCCCGGTCCCGGTCCCGGTCCCGGTGCGGCCCCGGTGCCGCCCGTCATGGCCGTCCCCGCCGCCGAGCTGGGCGCCGCTGACCGCGTCCCCTTTGCTACGGCAAGTAACGGCACCGGGACAGGGACCGGACCGAGCAACCCCCCCCCCCCACACCCTCCCCCCCGGGGGCTGAGCCCCGCTTGGGACCGGGACCCGTGGGGGCTCTTGTGGAGGGGGGGTGGTCCATGGTGGGGGTTATTGATTGGGGTCCCTGGTGGGGCAGTCTGTGGGGCTCGGGGGTCCCTGGTGGAGCTGGATGGGGGGCGTTCCCTGGCATGGCGGGGTTCCCTTGGGGGTCCCGGGGAGAGTGCATGGTGGGGGTCCCATGGGGGGGTCGTGTCGCGGTGCCCCAGCACGTGGTGACGGTGCCCACGGTGTGCAGGGCCCCTGCCCGGCGGCTGCGGAGGAGGAGGAGGATGGGGACGAGGAGCTGTTGGGGGCCGGGGGTCCCCGCGCCTGGACCCCCCAGGAGAAGCTGCTGCACGAGGCGCGGCTGAAGGCCAAGGCCAAGCGGCGGCTGCGGCGTACCTCCTCCCGGGACTCGGCCCGTGAGTCGCTCTCCGAAGGTGCTGAGCCTGGCCCCGAGCCCGGCAGCCCCAAGGGCAGGACCCACGACCGCAGGTCCCGCATGGGCAAGGGCCGCGGGCTGCCCAAGAAAGGTGAGGGGCGGCAGCGCCTGGCAGGACCCCTCCCGTCCCCCCCATTGGTGCTTGTACCCCACATATCTCCATCACTCCCCTCCTGACACCCCCATGGAGTTGGGACCCCTCCTGCATCCCCTGTGGGGCTGAGCTCCCTCCCAGTGCCCCAGGTTTAGTCCCCACCTCGGGGGGGCCCCACTGGGGGCCTCAGTGCCCGCCGCCACCGAGCCCCCGCTCACCCCGCACGTGCCTGGTGCAGGTGGTGCCGGAGGCAAGGGTGTGTGGGGTGCCCCCGGCGTGGTCTACGGCTACCAGGAGCCTGATGCCCGTGACCCCAACTACGACGAGGTGGCTCAGGTACGGCCCCGGGCCCCCGCAGCCCTGCCTCATCCCCCACCCTCACAGGCAGCCCTGGCGAGGGGCTGGCCGGCTGCAGGCAGTGGTACAGGCAGGGGTGGCATCGTCCTGTGCCCGCAGGGGGACACAGTCTATGCCACCGTGGTGCCTGAGTTGGAGGAGGGGGAGTTGGAGAAGAACGTGCAGCCCATGGTGCTGGAGTACTTTGAGCATGGGGACACCAGCGAGGTCATGGTGCGTCGGGGCAGGGGTCTGCGGGACGGGGTGGGCTGGAATGGGTTGGGGTCCTCGGGGAGGGGACAGGGGCCCCTCAGTGACAAGGACCCTCAGGGACGGGGAGACTGGGATGGGAAGGGTCCGTTGGGGGTCCGTTGCTGATGGGGACCCTTTGGGAAGGGGCAGAGTCCCCTGGGGAGGGGGATCCCTTGGTGGTGGGGACCTTCAAGGGGGTCAGACTGGTGCAGGGGAGAAAAGGGGTCCTGTGGGAATGGGGAGTGTCCCTGGGGGAGGGAACAGGGGTCCCTTGGGGATATGGACCCTCAGGGATGGGACAGGCTGGGATGGGGAAGGGTCCCTTGGGGAGGAACTGGGGGTCCCTTGCTGATGGGGACATTCAGGGGTGCCAGGCTGGCATGGGGCATGGTCCTGGGGGAGAGGGAGGGGGTCCCTTGGGGCTGGGGAGTGTCCCTGGGGGAGGTCAGGGGTCCCCTGAGGAGGGGCTGGGGGTCCCCTGGGGCAGCTGGCAGGGGGTAACTAACATGCCAGGCACAGGAGCTGCTGCGGGGGCTGAACCTGGGCAGCCGTCGGCACGCGGTGCCCTCGCTGGCGGTGGCCCTGGCGCTGGAGGGCAAGGCCAGCCACCGTGAGCTGACCTCCCGCCTCCTCTCCGACCTGGTGGGCCACGTTGTCACCCCCGAGGACATCGCCTGGGCCTTCGACAAGATGCTGCGGGACCTGCCCGACCTCATCCTCGACACCCCCGAGGCCCCCCAGGTGTCGGCAGATGTGGGGACGGGATGGGGACGTGCCAGGGCGGGGGACACAGCTGTGCCGGGGGATGCTCTGAGGGGACGTGGCCTTGCTGGGGGGATGCTCGGGGGGGCCACAGCTGCACTGGGGGGGCCGTGGCCGTGCTGGGGGATGCCCGGCGGCTGCAGGACGCAGACGGACAGTGGGACTAGGTAGGGCAGGGTGCTGACACTCCGTCCCCAGATGCTGGGTCAGTTCATCGCCCGTGCGGTGGCCGACCACGCGCTGCCCCTGGATTTCCTGGAGCGCTACAAGGGGCGCGTGGACTGCGAGCACGCCAGGTAAGCGCCGCCCCGGCCCCCGCCGCCCCCGCCGCGTGCCGCCCTCACCCGCCTCTCCCGCAGGGCCGCCCTCGACCGCGCTGCTGTCCTGCTGCGCATCAAGCGTGACGTCAACCGGCTGGACAACGTCTGGGGCGTGGGGGGCGGCCAGCGCCCCGTCAAGCACCTCGTCAAGGAGGTCAGCGCCTGTCCGACCCCCCCCAGTCGCGTCCCTCACTGTGTCCCCCGTCCCTGCTGGTGGCCTGGTCTCCCCGGACACATCCCCCTGCTCCATCCGTCGTGCCTGCACCCCGTCGCCTCTGGATCTTCCCCCAAATGTCCCATGGACACTCCCCTCTATGTCCCTTGGGACGTGACCCTGGCTGTGGCATCCCCCCAGACACGTCCCCATGCCCACCCAGAGCAGCAGTGACCCCGGCTGTCCCTGTGCCCTCCCCACGTCAGGACCAACCCCCCCCTAGCCATCCCCGCTTCATGTCTCCATGCCATCCCCCCCCGTGCCCCTACCCCAGCTGCCTCTGTCCCTAGATGAACCTACTGCTGCGGGAATACCTGCTCTCCGGGGAGGTGTTGGAGGCCGAGCACTGCCTGCGGGAGCTGGAGGTGCCACACTTCCACCACGAGCTGGTGTATGAGGTGAGGGCTGGGGGTCCCAGGGGTCCTGCGGGGTGGGGGGTGGAGGTGCCTCACTTCCACCATGAGTGGGTGGTGTACAAGGTGAGGGCTGGGGGTCCCAGGGGTCTTGGGGGGTCGCCCCCCCCGCAGCCCTGCTGACGCCCACTGCCCGCAGGCGGTGGTGATGGTGCTGGAAGGCTCCGGGGAGGGGCCCGTGGCCATGATGGTGACGCTGCTGAAGGTGCTGTGGGAGACGGGGCTGGTGACGCTGGACCAGATGAACCGGGTGAGCGTGGGGTGCACATGGGGGGGGGGCGGTGGGCAGCCCACCCCCAGGGCTGACACTGCTGTGTGTGTCTCCCCCTCCCAGGGCTTCCAGCGGGTGTACGAGGAGCTAGGGGACATCAGCCTGGACGTGCCGCTGGCTCACAGCCTCCTGGAGCGGCTGGTGGAGCTCTGCTTCGACCGCGGCATCATCACCAGGGCCCTGCGGGATGCCTGCCCTGCCAGGTACCGGTGCCAGGGGAGCTGTGGGGGGGGGGTGTGTCCGTGGGGGTGCTCCCCCTCTTCATCCTCCTCCTCCTCCACAGGGGCCGGAAGCGCTTCGTGAGCGAGGGCGATGGGGGACAGGTCAAGCAGTGAACCGGGGCGCTGCTGGCCATCGGCCCCCCCCAGTGGGCTGGCGGTTTGAGGGGAGTGGGGGGCAGAG